TTTTTTCTATAAAAGGCAACTGAGCTCTTTAATTTCTATTGCTCTTCAATTATGCACTTTCGCTTTTATTGATGTAAATGTTCAAATCAGCTCATCCTCGTATACTCTTTTTTTTTTTTTTTTGGCACCTCATCATGCTTTCATACTTTTTACAACCAATTTCACATGGAATGAATTTAGTTCCTAACTTCTGAAAACTACTAATAAGCCCCTCCTCAACCTTGTTATCTTTTGAAAAAGAAAATCTCAATGTTTTGTTAATTAAAATGCCAAAAATAACAATGATAAGACTAAAATATATTCAATAAATCAACAAATAAAAAAGATTTATTAAAAATATTTTAATAATTTTCCAAAACCTTGAACATTTAAAGAGTTAAAATGTCTTAATTTTTATATTTTTCTTATTTTTTGTATGTCAGAAATTAATTATTTAACATTACATAAATTTAAACCCAATATTGGCCTCAAATTAGAAGTTTTTAGTTGGGCTTTGTGAAGGACCCTTACCAACGAGATAATAGGGTCCCTTGATGGTTGGATTGAATGAAGGAGCTTGGATTAGATTCCTCTTTAATCCATATATCAAAGAAATATAGGCATGATCGTTTCCACCAATATGCAGGCTGCACTCAGTGAAAATTTGCACCAACAAAATGTATAAGATGTAAAAGCAAGATGGAAAATTCAAGTCAACTGCTGTATTATTTTTTTTTAAAAAAATCACACTTTTATTGTCAAAATAAATAAGGAGTGATCCTGTTTTTACACTCTGCTGTACACACTTTCATCCTCAATTGAATACAACCTAATTGTCTTCATTTGCAAACCCCTAATCAATCTATTGAAATCAATTTTTCTGAAAAAAAATAATGGAAACAAAAATGCAAGCTCAAAACAAACCTGTGAACAAAAAAGAATACCAAAAATGGCTACGTCAACCAAAAAAAGAAAGGGAATGATAGGAAGAAAACTGCTAGACACTCAGAACAACCAGATTCAGTAAAAAGAAATGTCGAATCCCGATTTTTATCCAACAATCAACAAAACAAGCTTCTTGGGAGCAGAAGCAGCTAAAAATGCACTGATGCTGTCCCTTTCACTGCTCTGAGATTGAGTTCTTCCGCTGCATTAGAAAGAGATCAGAGAAGTTAGAGCAGTTCAGAATCTGTAATTCAGAAATAAGCAGAATCGATGATGTATAGAATTTTACATATACGCGGGCTAGCCTCCCTCCACCAACAGCCTTGTTTGCAGTGAGCTTAAGAAAAACAAATGCATCAAGGAGGCTTAGAACAGATGAAGAGCCATTTTAAGCTTGTTCTGTTTCCATTTGGGTAACTTGTAGAAGGCATCCTTTGTCATTGTAAACTTCACCCGGAAATCTTCTGATGATAGATAAGTCTACATGCACGAAATATAAAATTCTCAGAATAATATTAGTCACATAAACTTTAAATGACCAAACAACAGCAGAAAATATAGCATCATCTTAAACTTGTACCTCTCGCTTTGTCACATCTATTTCTGTAACAGGATCTGTTGAATTTGTTGTGAGACGTTCGTAAGGGTAGGTTGGAAGGCCTTCCTCATCTTCAGCTTCACCCTCTTTGACATCCTCTTGTATTGTGAGGGATTCTATTCTGCTATTCATTGAGTTCCCTTTCGAGTCAGGCGTTGGGGTTGATTTGGGTGCTTCTGGGCTCACTTCATATACAAGTAAAACACACTTGAATTATGTATATACAAGAAACTGGGCAGAATAGCTCTGAAATTTGCATCAAAACCTAACAAAATTTTACCTTTAACAGATTTAGGTATGATAGTCTCTCGAGGTGGTGCAAATTTTTCAAAAGAAGCACCAAGTGTTGCTATAGCAGAAGATTTGGGCGCTAGTTTCCCAGAATCAGGAGTCAGAGACTTTGGATAGAGTTTTCTAACCATCGGTGGTGGAGTTGAGAGGTTCCTGGCATTGGGGTTCTCAAAAGTTGCTGCTAGTGCATTGAAGGCTGGAGACCTGCCACGAACACGAACTCGATCAGGGCTGAAAGACATACTTCTAGAACGCTGAGATTTCTCAGGAACGCTGCTTGACCTCCCTCCATATGTTGCAGGTGTTCTCCGTTTAGTTTTCTAAACATGGATTCAGATATATGATCAGATAAAACAAATTATGTCATTCCCATCGGCTCCAAACAGAAAAAGGTTCACATCAGCACATTTTATCTAATCTAAGCATTTCAACAAGACATATGGATGAAAACAAGTATTGGCTAACATTTGCATGCTTAGCTAAGGTTCTTGTAAACATGGAGCTGCTCAAGACAATCTTTATATCCTATTTAGTCTAATTAAGTTCCCAGCTCAAATGTCTTGCCATCTCAAATTTCTGGAATCAGATTCTGTTATTGAGTAATGAAGATATGTGGAGGCATTTACAGTAAAAAAAAATTAACCATAAAAACATCATAACAATCAATCAGATTGTTTTTCAAATCAGAAGTTGTGAGCGAATATTGCCTAATGATTCACATCTATAATAATTCTCTTATGGACAACTAAATAAAAAGCCTACTTAATTAGCCAGTAGCTACTTAGTTGTTTTGTGAAAAGAACATGTAATAAGGATTCCATTCAGCATCACAAAATCATCTCTTGATCAAACACTCATTCATAGACTATAATATGAAAAGCATTTATACAAATATTAGTCAGCAACAAAATCAAGGCCTATAACATAAATGTACACCCCTGGAGACTGACAATTCAAATCACGATTAAATTAGACTGTTAAATTGATTTGAAAGGGTTAAGTGAAGTCTTACATCCATAGTCGGAGTAATCCCATTCTTTACCATGGCAAACTTTCGTTGAAATGAGTTTCCATGCATCTACAGTCAAACAGTCAAACAAAAACATTAGAAACCTTAGAAAGTTTCAGAGTTCCAAGAATCATTTGGCATTCATTTTTAAAGATACTTACTAATGACTTGGAAGAGTCCCATGTGAAAAAGCGTGTAAAAAAGGGAGGCTCACTCCCTTCCATGACAATATATATTGGAGTTTCACGAGATAACTTTTCTAACAAAAAATCATGCTCAAGAAATTTCTGTCCAAAGGGAGAAGGAAGTGTAAGAATGTACCTAGCAAATTCTCATCAAACTATAAACTTAAGCCATAATTTGCCAGAGGCTAAACCAAATATAACCCTGGTATAGAGACCAAGACAAGTTGCATTAATTTGAGGATTTAAGATTTTAATCAAAATGATTTAGCAACACCAAGACCCATAAATTGCCTATTAGAATGGAACTATCACACACAAAAGTCAATATCCAAACAGGTCTTTCCAGGCATCACTTAGTTGATCTTACCCCTCCAATAGTAAGGGCCTGCAGTTTCTTCTTGGTATCAACCTGTTGACCAACCCAGACAAAGATATCTGAGTGACAATCGAGGATGAATATGTCTTCAGTCATCAAATCATCCTGGGTAAAATTGTAGATCTCTGTGACCTGCCACAAAATTTCAATTTAAAGCCATCGAATAAATAATGTGAAAGTAAAATGCAAACAAAATCTGCCATGCATAACAAAATAACATTTTTTTTTTTTAATAAACATCAGCCTTCATATGGAGTACAATAATTTGATTAAATCTCACTTGTTAAATTCAAATAAGGTTAGAAGACTATAAAATCCAGAATTACAAACACCTAATTACCATGAACTCTGGGTGGCATAATCCATCAACAGATAGAACATATAAAAATAAAAGAAGATCAAATTGAACTCATTCTTAGAATAAGCAAATGAAATATGATTTGAACTACATACATCACAGTCCACATATGAAGTTAGAAATTAAGGCTAGAAAGGAAACAAACCTTCAGATTCCCTGCAATTCCATAGGCAGTTTGCAGTAACCATGACCATTAGCAAATGAAAAGAAAAAAAAAATAGAAAATCATAAATTGACATCTTACACCAGACAGAATAAAAAGGTTTTAAAGAACTTTTCTAACAGTTACTTAGTTTCCATACCTTTTGAAAGCGTGCAAGAGAATAGATGAGGATCACTTTCAGCATCCCTTGCAATTTTTTGGCTTGGATATTCAGCTTTTCCTCCCAACAACTCCCAAAACTGTTCAGACTCTGAACCCTCCTTCTGTGGCCTGGATTGTGAATTAGGCTATGGAAGACCCCAGTATGAAATTAAAAAATCAGGTAGCGCTAATCAGTTACACAGAATTATTTTGCAATGTTTAATACAAATACATGTAACTCATTACAATGTATTTAGTCATTCTTACCAGATATGCTGTACATTGAAAATATTTGGAAAGCAATACTTGTGCAAAAATCATAGGCTTAAATCTAACTCTAGGAGGAAATAACTTCAAATACACATCTAACCTTTATCAAATCCAGCTGCCTCTCAACAAGTTCTTGGTCTTCTGTGGTAGTAAGGTTTCCAGTCCATGGAAAGACAGTGGAACCACTATGTAATATGTAACAATAAGAAGAATTCAAAGATGAAGCAACCTGATAGATGGAGACAAAGGAAAGAAGCATAAGTATCTCTCACACAAAAATACACACACACTATGCAAAAATAAGTCTACTCACAGCAAAGCGATATGAGATGCATGGTAGATGGTTTTAATCAATAAGTGGATCAACCAACATTTCACTAGGAAATTTGAAGGAAAATGACATCCTATGATGGGACCTTTGTATAAATTCTTTGTTTACATCGACGTATCACTCAAAAAATAAGCACTAAGTAGAAATTGTCAGTAGTGGAACCAAATTACACAATTCTAAGGGTTTGTGTTGGACAAAACAACCATTAAAATTCCTTAGAAAAAACAACATCCAGTGCAAAACCTCACACTGAAAATGATACATCTTTGCTCCTTAAGTATTTTTACTAAATGATCACACTTTATTAGCTCTGAAGGATCAAAATGGTAAATTGAGCATGATGACATACAGCTTCAAGTTGTATTGCTTGCATGTTATCAGGTCCAGAACCCTGTATTCGGAATAATGCAACACCATCTTCATTGTAAGTCTCATCAGGGATTTCCTTTACTGCAATGGAGTTCTTGTATCCATCACTAAGACCACCCTGATAAATTTCACATAAGTTGGATTTGACATATGGAATTTAAAAATAAAGTAAACTGCAAATCATACCAGAAAATGAGGCCAGGGATCAAAATCCTATGTACCTTAAAGACAATAAAGCTCTGGACAATTGAATAGAATTGAATTGGTTCACTTCCTTCATGGATATGAGCCTATGAACCAATGGCAATGTACCATAAAAAAATACATCATATATAAAAGAAAAGCTCTAATGATATCAAAACAGAACTCCAAGGTAAAATAAAATTACTTGGGTAGCCAAAAACTTCGTTGACTCGACCATCTTGCTAGCCAGTGAAATGGCAGAAGCTCTTTCTTCCTGTTAATTGTAAATGCACAATAAATATTAACATAGTACCATTATAAGCAGTTGCACAATAAGTACAAATTCTAATTCATATAATTTATAACGAAGAATAGACCGCACTTATAAATGCACATACTTGTAATCAATGTGTTTACAGCCATACATACATAATCACACAAGTAGTAGGAAATTATTAGATTCACCTCAATACTCTGCTTTCCAAACCATGTTCCTATAAGATATTCCTCTTTATCTTCTCCAGGATATGCATACTGAAAAATATAGCAATCTCCCCTGAAAAATTTCGATTGATCAGCAGCTGGAAGGAGAACCTTTTCCTGGCCATTCACACGCCAAACCTGTGCAACCAGAGTGGTTCTACATTAGCAATCTTCATATTAGATTCATGATTCATGCACTACACTTGTAATATGCCCCTAGGATATTGAAGAGAACATGATTACCATGAATTAAATGCTAGGATAGATATGAAGAAATATAGATTCACTGAAATAGGGTTAAAGAAATAAAGACAGCTTGCTCCTCTTGGTTCTTTTCCCTTTTATTTTGTTCCCTTTCTTCTTTTCCTTTTTGTTTGTTTCATGCCACCCAACATGGTAGGAAACTGGACTTAGTTGGCACTAAGAAGGCCCTATATATGCATTGGATTGAATGGGTAACATATTAATTAGTACAGATCTCCCAAGAAATACAACTGCATTATACAAGCAACTTTTTATTTCCTTCTTGCTACCCCTTACAAGCATTTATTTTATATGCAACTAGTTTTGTGATATTAGGTACAAATTGCACCTGGTCAAAAAGAAGAAAGGAGCCACTCTAAAATTCTTTTACAAATGGTAAGGTCCTTTCTTTCTCTAGAGAGAGCAAAGTCACAGGAAACAGGAATACCAACACCATGCACATGTTACAGAGATGTATACATTTATGCACAGAAATATACATAATGCAAAAAATACCTGCAAATTTCCAGTGCAATCAATATATGGTTGTGACTCTTCTTCTTTTGCAGGAGCAGCTTTTAAAAGACCCTTGACATTAACCCCTTGGCGTTTTAAAAGAGCTACAAAATCATTGATGATATAACAGGAGTAAGTACTTTAAACTGACAATGATTATAGGAATGCAATAACTATTTATGACAACAACAATTTCTGGAAAGGAAAATTCATACTGCTAATACAAGATATCTCAATTACTGACCAGCAACTTTGCCTCTACCATCCTCAGAAACAGCTACATTAATTGCCTGAGGCCATATATCAAACTTTGACCGAAACATAACAGTCTCAAATCCCTCAATTACAAGAATGATGTGGGACTTTGGTCTATCGGAGCTGTGGATTAATTCCTGTTAGTGATTTCAACAATAATAAAGAGAATCATTGAACAATTCAAATCAGAAATAACAACTAAGATTAGAAAAGAAAGGACTCAGTATTACTTCTGCAGCTCCACTCGCACTTTTTCTTTCTTCAAGAGATGTATTTCTCCCCATCCATACGAAGACTTCTAGCCCACAATCCAGTATATAGCATTTGTCTGTGTCCAAAAGCTCCCTTGTCAAGGAATCAACTTCAACTGGTTCAGCCTGCCCCTTCTCAACCCTTAGAAAGCAAACATAATTCAATCAATTATCTTAATGTAGTATAAATCTAGAAGGAACTGTTATAGCTACTGTTCTTGATTCACATCTCATATGCTTTTCCTCAAAAACTCAAAACTGGTACTTTTGTTTGAAATTTTAGTGGACAAATCCTAAGAAAATGCTGAAAGGAAAATGAAATGAAGAGTGACATTAAGATATATAAGTACACTGGCATATAAATATTGGATCTCAATCCAATTTAAGATACTTGTTAATTCAGGGAAAAAAAATGACATTGCAGAGATAAAACTGACATGCCTCTTCCAATTCAGGGAAACACCAAGATAATATACCTTTGTAGCTTAGTAGGATATGAATCAACAGTCTTATCCTCACTATTGGCCATTTTCCTAGGAAGTGGAGCAAAGCCACCAAAAAAACTCCAAAATTCTCCAGTTTCAGCATCAGCCATCAACTTTCCATCCTCTGCATAGAAAACAAGTGTGATTCAAGATGTTAATGCTTATTCATCACCATGAACTTCCCTGGAATCATATAATTTCATTCACTTACCAACAGCAGCTACTTCACATTTTCCATCATGATAAGAATCTTTAATGTACTGAACAACTTCTAAGGCTTTGGCCCTCTCTTGAATGGATGAGTTGGAACCATTAAATTGAAAAATTTTTGACTTAGTATCCAATATAAAAATATCATCATGATTGAGAGAGGAGCGGGCAAAAGGAACCTGAAACAACACAGCAACATAGATACCAACTTCACAAAGAGAGCATGAATGGTTACCAACAATGGGAATCTTACATGTGTGAAGAAACTAGGTCCACAGACTTGCCTCTGTTACATGGACAACATGTTTGCCTTTACATACAAACAAACGTGTTTTGTGTTCCTCAGCCTCAGGATGTTTGAACCCAGATGCAACTCCACCTTCTTGAGGTATGATACATGGCTTAAAATTAGAGAGGAACTTCTCAGTTTCATGACCCTGTACTTCACGATACTGCACTGCACGCCCTCCAAGAGCTGCATCAAGCTCAACTGTTTTGATTGCAGCAGTACCTGCTTCATCCTATATAACAATTGCAGTCACAGAATTGATTCACAACAGTTTCAGGCCAAAATCACCCACCCATATCCCCTAGAAACACCAAGAAGTGATCTATAGAACAGACGTTGACTAACTTAGTTATGGATTTTCATGAAATAGTTTCTGTGCCTGGTGGCAGCCAACCACTCACCGGCCACAGAAACTGTTTCATGCTATAATTTCCGGGGACAAGAACTAGCAATTTTAAGAACAGCATTTACCTGGGTGGTATCTTTCCCAAGCCAATAATGGATATCATGTCGTAAGGCACCACTTTTTGAGGCAGTTGTCTGCACAAAAAGGTGTCACAGTTACAAAATAATCATCAAGAAAACTGAGTTATGAATCTTACACCAAAAACCACAGTATATAGAAAAATTATGCTAGAATCCAAGTCTAATCAGTAACAAATACCCAGCTTTCAAATTTATTATCAATAACCATTCTCTATATTCCACTAAATCCAGAGTTCCAAGTTACAACCCATTTTGAAAATAACCTCACTTCACACAAAGAGAACCCATCCCAACACAACAAGGATTTGGCAAATATAAGTCTACCAGGAAAGTTTGAGCGTACAGAATAGCGAAGACACCACTCTCAGTGTTTGCCCACTAGAATATCTCAATCATTTAACATTCTATTATCATAGATGATGAATCGTGAAATTAGTTAAGTCCGTGGGCAACAATTTATACCATCTTAAATTCATAGGCAAAGGCCAACCATTTGAAATC